AGGACAATATATTGAAACATACGTATAACATCAAGGATTCGTGCTCCAGGTGAGGCCCAATCTATAGGAGCATACGTAAAACACATGGGATTGGAGCCACTCCTGTTGCCTTCTGAGGCCTCCTGCTCCTGGGGCCTCTCGGGGCCTCCTGTTGCCTTCCGAGACCTCCTGGCGCTTCCTCTGGCCTCCTGTGGCTTCCTGAGGCCTCCCGGAGGTTCCTGGGGCCTCCTAGAGCCTCTTGGGACATCCTGTGGCCTCTTGAGTCTTTCTGTGGCCTCCTGATGCCTCCTGGGACCTCATCTGGTCTCCTGGAGCCTGTTGGAGCCTCCTGTGGCATCCTGAGGAGAATCTGTGCCCACGAGTCTGGCCACCGATCGAGACATCCTCAAAATCTGGCCCACCAGGGGGGTGAGAATGAGCGCCTCGCTCGAGACATCCTCCAAATCTGCTCCGAAAGCGAAGGATGCTGGGACAGAAAACAGGCAAACCGCTTGAGACATCCCCACAAAACGGCCGCGAACGGGACCGTGAGATAACCCCTGGCGGCTCCCCTCAGGGGGGTGAAAGTGAGCGCCTCGCTCGAGACATCCTCCAAATCTGCTCCGAAAGCGAAGGATGCTGGGACAGAGAACAGGCAAACCGATTGAGACATCCCCACAAAACGGCCGCGAACGGGACCGTGAGATAACCCCTGGCGGTTCCCTTCAGGGGGGTGAAAATGAGCGCCTCACGCGAGACATCATCCAAATCTGCTCCGAGAGCGAAGGATGCTGGGACAGAGAACAGGCAAGCCGCTTGAGGCATCCCCACAAAACGGCCGCGAACGGGGCGTGCGTGAGGCTCAGCATGAGTAAGTCTGAGTAGGAGTAGGTCTGAGTAGGAGTAGGTCTGAGTATGAGTAATTTTGTGTGTGAGTAAGTCTGGGTATGAGTAAGGCTGAGTGTGAGTCAGACTGTGTATGAGCAAGTCTGGGTATGAGGAGGAGAGGGGAGGAGAAGGAGAAGGAGGCGAAGTCGGCGGCGTCCAAGAAATAACACAAACCCCATCTTAGGATATGGGGAATACATCAGAAAACGAAAAGGTGTGAGTACGAGCAGGTCTGAGTATGAGTAAGTCTGGGAACAAGTCTGAGTATTAGTTAGTCTGGGCATGAGTGAGTCTCAGCATGAGTAACTCTGAGTAGGAGTAGGTCTGAGTATGAGTAGGTCTGAGTATGAGTACGTTTTTGTCTGAGGAAGTCTGGGTATGAGTAAATCTGAGTGTGCGGAAGTCTGGGTATGAGGAGGAGGAGAAGGAGAAGAGGGAGAAGAAGGAGTAGTAGGCGTCAACATAATAACACTAACCCCATCTTGGGATATGGGGAACAAGGGAACTGCTGTGCTCCTACTTTCGCTTGCTCTGCTAGGTTGCCCTCATCTGCATGGCCTTCAACTAACGAATTGCATGGGCAATCCCATAGCTGATGATAAGGCGTCTCCTCCTGCACCCCACATCTTGGGCAGATGGGCGAGCCGAGCTTAGTGTGTTCAAACCTTTGCTTGGCAGGCCACAAGGCCCCTTGACTAGTCATTTCTAAAACAGCAGCTAGATTTGTCATACCTTTGGCTCGCGGATGCTCGAGGTGGGCCCAAGCCACAGTCAGGTCGACACCGAACTCAACCCCAGAACCCTCAACGTGTGGACTGGCTTCGGCCCAACTCTGTTGCTCCAGGGAGGCCCCAACTTCGAACCGAAGGGCTTCTGGCCCCGCTTGGCGAATTCCCCACATGGGATGGTCCATTCCCCTGGCGAATTAGGTATCCAGTTCATATCTAGGAGGGTCGCTTGGACTGCAGCAAGGTGCCCTCGCACATGCTGCCAGCGGTTGGGAGCCTGCTGGAGCATCTTCAGCGACTCCTGCCAGGCGCGCTCCAGCGCCTCCCTCCACTGGTGGATCCTAGGGAGGTGTTCCTGTCAGGCCAAAAGGAGCTCTAAAGGTCCCCAAAACATTGGGTCCCTGTACTTTCCTAGGCTTATCCTAATGGCGGTGGTCGCACAACCCCCAGCCCATGTTCTGCCACACATTGATGAAACTTGAGCTCTGCGCTTCCTTAAAGTCGTGGGCGCTAGGCCCATCGCAACGGCTCCCCAGGCAACCTGTGGTTTGTGCCCCGTCTTGGCCAGCTTCTTGGAACCCTTGGAGGCCCTATCTAAAAACCTAATGGCACGGGCTCTTCGTGAACCCTTCAGTTGTCTCACTTTGATCACCCCTTACGTCCTCGCGCTGCTAGTGACGTCTATGCCCAAGCCTCTGGCCTTCGTGTCTACCTTGATCGGGAGGCCGAGGGTCACGACGTCGCGTCGAAGGTCGTCTCGCAGTGCCAGCGTGCTGCACAGTCCCACTGTTTTTTCTGAAATCCTCAATCCGTTTCCGAGTCACTGTCGAGACCAAAGTGCTAGAGTGCTAGCCACCTCCGTCGCTTGTCGCAGAACTGATGCTCTTCTGCCGATATTGAGCTGCGCCAAATCATCTACCCAATTGTCGATCTGGTTTGACGGGGGTGGGTATCTTCTATGAATATCGTCCAACGTGTCCCATATATATATATAGATATATATATATATATACATCTACATATACACACACATATATATATATATATATACACACACATTCGTGACCAGGCCACACCCTGCATACATCCCGCAATAATCAAGTCAGTACCTTGTATACTAACAGACAGAACTCGGCCCACTGCAAGCCAACGGCCTGCAAGGTGCTGCAGTAGGGCAATATAGAAAGGAATTAGCGGGTGCTTACACGATTGAGCCAGATCTGCAAGGGTCGACGGTTGGATGAGGTCATAAAACTTCTTTGCAGCCCAGAGAAATTAGACCCAGTGGATGTTCAGGGGCCCGCAGGCTTCCGCTTTTAATTGTCTCAATACTGCTGCCCTCAGAGGCCTGCTTTCTCTCACCGCCGAGTCCCAGAAACCCGCACGCTCTCGTTCCCACGTTGTCACTGGCGACTTCTTCAGAGCACTCCACAATCGGTAGGGCCCCGGGGTCAACGTGATCGGTCGATATCTTCCTGGCGGGGGCTTCGGGGACATGGCCACAATGTTTACGAGGGTCTGCTGGGGCCATGCTAGTTGTTCTTCTACATCGTGTAGGATTTCCAGTACTATGTGTTTCCCTGCTCGTGGTATGTGGAGCCACTCTCGCGGATTCCAGGGGTCTGCACCAAACCCAGCGTGGGCTTTGAAATACCTCATGCCCTCTGCCATGCCCTCAAAGGTCGGCTCGGGGAGGGGGTTGTCCAGCTGCTGCTCCCTGGCTTTCCTCCTGAGGTTTCGCAGCCACTCGGGGAAGCGGTCCTTCTCGGAGCCCACGGTGCCCTTCCAGACCTCAGTCCATCGAAGTGCTTTCTTTCGAATGATGCGTTCGGGGTCTGTCAACTCGAGCCCATCGGGGCCAAGCTCTATATCCCAAGACTCGGTTCTGGTTGTTCCCAGGTTCGCGTGCAACGGTGGGCCCAGCTGGCTCCTTGGCTGAGGCTATGGTTAAAGTACTTCTGGAAGCCCTCACCCTTCTCCTTCATGGCTGCGAGACTTACTTTCGCCAGGACCTCCTTGGCTTTATTGAGCAGGGAGGGAACCTTTTCCTGGTCTCCTGGGAGCTCAGGAATCTCTGCAAGCAGGTCACGTCCAACTTGTCGTACTCCCGCGGGCATTGCAACGAGGGTCTCGTGGTGTGCTGGGTCGTGCGCCCAAGCTCGTAGCTGATCGCAGATCGCTCGTTCCTGGTTCAACTCCTCCTTCTGCTTCCTCCTCTGGATGACGAACAGTTCCTGGATCCTGGATCTGATGCCGCCCCAGAAGATCACGTCCCGATCGTTTCCAAAACATCCTGGTGGTCGCCCTGCGAAAAGCGAAGAAACCTGAACTCGCGGGCAATATCCTCTTCGTTGAACTCCTACCTCCTTCCCCGACCTGGTTAAAAGAAAGCCTTCTGCCTGGTGCGAGAAGGTCTGGTACTTCTGAGAGAGAGAGAGAGAGAGAAAGAAAGAGAGAGATGCACGTGTGGCTTCCTCCCAGACGTTGTAGTCCTGAGGGCGCTTTAGAGCGCTCGTCCTGCAAAACTATCCCACGGTAGGTCGGGGCCGTAGGCGCGTTGTGTGATCGGCGCCACTGGCATCAAAACACGTGTTTGAATAAGTTCACGATTCATATGAAGTTCCCTTCTTAGGCCGATATGTGGGGACCAGGGGCCTTTCAAGTCCAACTGCAGTGTGATCATACCTGCCATCTCTTCTGACGCGACTCCATAATCAAGAATCCTTCCATGTCCACTGGTTTGTGAAAGCAGCTGGAGCTGTGACAATGGAACCTCGAACATAGGACGGCCACCCTGAATCCCATAATTGTTGTGGCGTCGCATTCCAGTCCCCCATCACAAAGTACGCTTTAGTATTTGTCCTGATGTAGCCTGCCAATTCTGAGAGAATCCGTCCATTCCTCCTCCCTCCTCCTCGTCCTCCTCCTCCTTCTCCCCCTCCTTCACCTCCTCCCCCTCCACCTCCCCCTCCTCCACCTCCTCCTCCTCCTCCTCCTCCTCCTCCTCCTACTCCTCGGGTCGCCTACGGCCCCGGGGGAAACCGTGCAGGTCAGTGGTCAGTCGGAGCGCCAGATATTGCAGGATCCTGCAGAGCCAGGGGTGCATTGACCGGGTTTGGGTGCACTATCCTGCAGGATTTTGCAGGGTCCTGCAAAGCCCGACTGACCCAGGGCTGGATTGACCCGGGTCAGTAGATCCCTGATTTGAGGCGCCAAGGAGACAAGAAGAGAGCGCGCTGGAGGAGAAAAGGGACGACATTCTCGTCTCAACAGACGTAACGCAGAGAAGCATCCATGAACATACTACTGGTGTAAACATATCACTTCTCTGGTAAAGCCAAGTAACCCATTCGTTTGATAATCTGTACGGAATGATCAATCGTGCTACGATGTCCGGAGCCGGAGGCTTCCGCAGCTGCGGATCGACTACGCGGCCTCCCCGCAAAAGCAGAAGTTGCAGCGGAAGATGGCCGCGCGTGAGCGCGATCAGCTGAAAGGCGCCACGGGCCAGTCCGCTCGTGATTATGCAGGTGACGGTTCGTTTCCCTTGCCTTTTCTCATTCTTCATCGATGTTTCATGAATGGTTTGATCGTCAACCCTCTCGCCATTCAGGCTTCCCGTGCGTTCTCTGCGCCGGGCATTTGGTTGTCTTGACTCGTCACGTTCTGGCTTTTCGCGTGCTCGTCGTCGTCTTGTTGTTGTTTCTCTCTATCTCTCTCCCTCTCCTTCTCCGTCTCTCTCTCTCTCTCTCTCCCTCTCTCTACCTCTCTCTGCCTCTCTCTCTCTCCCTCTCCGTCTCTCTCGCTCTATATCTCCTCCTTCCTCTCCCTCTCGCCCACTCTCTCCCTCTCTCTCCCTCTCTCCCCTTTTCTTTTCCTCCTCCTCGTCTTCCTCCTTTCTCTGGCTCTCTCTCTCTTTCTTGTTGGGTTGAGGGGGAGGGGGAGCGTGGACGCCAACGTGGTCCAGGACGGGATAGCACGCCGGCAGCGTCGTAGCACACACCATGTCTCACCGAGCGCCCTTGGGCAGGATACGAGGCATGTGCTGGTGCGCGCGAAAGGGGAGACGGAGGAGGAGCAGGAGGAGGCGGAAGAGAATGAGGAAGAGGAAAGCCGATTGCATGCACGGGCGGCTGGGCACAGGGAGCAGGAGAGAGGGGAGAGCGGGGGCGGGGGCGGATGTCGTGGGAGTGGTCGTCGAGATTCGTCGACGCAGTGGTCGTGGAGGTCGCGGTTGTCGTGGCGGTAGTCGGGGTGGTGGAGGTGGTGGTCGCGGAGGTGGTCGTGGGCATCGTGGTGTCGTCGTGACGGTGGTCGTGGTGGTCGTGGTGGAGGAGGTCGTGGTCGAGTGTTGGCTCAGGCCGGTGGTCAGGAGGTTGGGGTGCAGGCTTGCTTGCGATCCTCCTGCCATACCCGCCTGCGCTGAGACCTGCGCCCACTGCAACAACGCCCGCTGCCGCCAAGGCCGCGTGGAACCACCGGGCGCGCTTGCGCCGTGCGCATGCCTGGCTCATGTTGCACGCCTGGCACAGGCGGGCCGAGCCTCTCCGCCTGGAGGCCGCGCGGCGCCTGCTGGACGGGCACCACGGCTCGCGGGCGACTGCCATCGAGGGGATGGCGCCGTCTGGCGCCGCCAAGAAGCCGCACAGAGGCTGCAGCAAGTGTGGCCTCGCGAGCAGCTGGGCCTGCAAGCCCGAGTGCCACCAGTGCGGCAGTGGGGCGCCAACAGGGTGCCCGCCAAGTTGGCTGGCGCTGGCATCGGCGACTCCATCGCCGCCGCGAAGCAGCTCAAGGCCAAGGCGAAGCCGAAGGCCAAGGCTGCTGCTGCTGCTGCTGCTGCTGCTGCTGCTGCTGCTGCTGCTGCTGCTGCTCCCTCCGGCGCCGGCGGTGCTTCCAGCGAGGCGGCGAAGCTGCGGCAGCAGCTGGACGCCGCCAGCCGTAAGCACGCGCAGGACCTCCGGAAGCTCAAAGACGAGTTGGCGGAGTTGCCGCAGGCCCGCGCTGCTGGCGGCGATGCGGCGGAGCCCGCAGCTGGCGGTATGGACCTCGACGACGAGAGCGAGCTGGACAAGGCGGTCGCTTCGGCCTGCCACTGGCTCAAGAAGGCCCAAGGCAGGCTGGCGGAGCTGCGCGACTTGGTGGCCGGCGGCTACGAGGCGTGCGTCGCGGAGCTCCTCGCCGACGTCGCTAGCGCGCAGGTTGAGCGGCGGGGCGGAGGCCCATAAGACGCCAAGTCGGCCTTGCAGGCTCGTGAGGCCGAGCGGGAGGAACTCCACAAGAATATTCTGTCCCAGTAGGCGGCCGTCGCCGAGGCCGAAGCCTCAGTGGCCAAGGCCACTGCGGAGGTCACCGCCCTGGCGACACTGTATGTTCGGGTCGGACGCGCGCCTCCAAAAGAGGCACATGGTACTAGTCGGAGGTCGGGGGGTGAGATCGCAGTGGAATAGAGACCCCCAACCGGGAAATCGTTTCGTTTCGTTCGTGTCGTGCGTGCGGGCGAGGCGAAGCTGCGTGGGCGCGCGAGAGGAATGAAGCCGCCGTCGCTAGGGCGAAGTCAAGACAAATGATTCTCCCCCGCTCGCCCGTCCGGCGGTGGCTCGCGGTGTCCCGCGGTGTCATGTGGTGTCCCGTGGTGTCCCGTGGTGTCCGCCGTTGCTAGGGCGAAGTCAAGACAGATGATTCTCCCCCGCCCGTCCGTCCGTCCGTCTGTCCGGCGGTGGCTCGCGGTGTCCCGCGGTGTCCCGTGGTGTCCCATGGTGTCCCGTGGTGTCCCGTTGAGTGAGATCGATCGTGAGATCGATCGTGAGATCGATATTGAGATCGATATTGAGATCGATGTGGTGCCCCGAGGTGTCCCGTGGTGTCTCGTGGTGTCCCAAAAAGTGAGATCGATAGTGAGATTGGCAGGTGTCCCGTGGTGTCCCGTGGTGTCCCGTTGAGTGAGATCGATATTGATATCAATACTGAGATCGATGTGGTGCCCCGAGGTGTCCCGTGGTGTCCCAAAAAGTGAGATCGATAGTGAGATTGATAGTGAGATCGACAGGTGCCCCGCGGTGTTCCGTGGTGTTCCGTGGTGTCCCGTGGTGTCCCGTTGAGTGAGATCGATCGTGAGATCGATAGTGAGATTGGCAAGTGTCCCGTGGTGTCCCGTTGAGTGAGATCTATAGTGAGATCGATTGAGTCAGATGTTGGTTTCCCCCCTCTTCCCCCCCACACAACCTCCTTCTCATCCGAAGGGTGGTCGTATAGGTATGTCCTTACGCGTCCCCCCTATCCCCGAGGAGGAGGAGGAGGAGAGGGAGGAGCAGGAGGAGCATTGCCCCCCCCGCTTTTCCCCTCCTCAGCTGCCCGCTGAGTTCTTCATTGCAGGAGCTGTGGCAATCATTGTGTCAAGAAACCTGTCAAGCCTGTCGAGCCCTGCACTCCCATCACGGCCACCAGGAAAGGGCAGCTTGAGAAGAGGCTCGGCGAGGGATCGCCGCCCAGACGTGGCATGCAGCTCCCTTGCCTCTGATGCGCGAAGTGGGCCTGAGCAAGAACTCCAGGAACCCATCCGCGGGAAAGGTCGAGAGGCCCCCCGCCGTCCCGCTCCGACGCCCCGCCCAGGCGCCGCGGGCAGCGCCGCGACCGGGCCGGCCGGCGAGGCGGCGCCGGGCGAGGAGCGCCCCGCCGAGCCGTCCGGGGGGGGGCCTCCGTGCCGCCGCCGGCGCCGTCATGCATCGGCACGATCGGGGCTCTGGAGGCGACGATGGTTCGGACGGGGCCAGGACGAGGATGGATCCGTTCCAGAGCGTTCTGGAGCGTTCTCACAGCGTCCCCGAACGCTCTGAGAAGGCCGCGTCCAAGGACTTCGAACTCGTCGTCGTTGACGATGTTGGTCTGCTCTTCCAGTTCCTTCTCCTCGTCGGCAGGGAGGAGGAGAAGGGACGGAGAAAGGGAGGGGAGTGGTCGGTCGGGGCTCGGACGAGGACAAATCCGTTCCAGAGCGTTCCAGAACGCTTTCAGAGCGTTCCCGAACGCTCTGAGAAGGCCGCGGTGCCCGAGACATCCTCCAGATCCGCCGGATCCCAGAGATTCTCGATGTATCCTCACCCGAATTTCCCTACCTAGGCTCTGCCTAGAAGGGTTCTTACTCTCTTAGCTTAAAGGGGCCGGGCAGTGCAAAGCGCCCTGGGCGGTTCCCCCAGTCCCCTGGGAGCGGTTCCCCCCAGTCCCCTGGGAGCTTTAGCTTTAGCTTTAGCTTTAGCTTAGCTTTAGCTTAGCTTTAGCTTAGCTTTAGCTTAGCTGTAGTTTAGCTTTAGCTTAGCGTTTCGCTTAGCTTTTCGCTTAGCGTTTAGCTTAGAATTCTTCACGCTTCGCGTATCCCCACCAGCCCATCTCAAAACAGCAACTCTTGCGAAGCACGCCGACAGTCGTGTTTTTCAAGCGTGTGTACGCTTGCCCCCGCATATCTCCCCTGTTCCTCCTTCCTCCCGCCTCCTTGTACATCCTCCTTGTGGTGGGAGCGGGAGAAGGACGAGGCGGAGGAGGAGGGAGAGAAAGCGGTGGGAGGCAAGAGGGATTTAGCGGAGACGACGATCACAGCGATGATCCTAACAACGACGACGCACCCGACGACGACGACGATATCGACCGCAACGACGACGACGACCACAACCGCGGCGACGACGACGACGACGACGACGACGACGACGTCGACGACGACGACGACGAAGGCGGCGGCGACGACGACGACGACGACGACGACGACGACGACGACTGGTGGGAGTCGTTGGGGCCCCTCGTGGTGTGAGTCGTTCGGCCCCATCGTCCTTGTGTGAGTCCTTCGGGCCCCTCTTCCTGGTGTGAGTCGTTCGGGCTCCTCGTGGTGTGAGTCGTTCGGGCCCCTCGTCCTGGTGTGAGCCGTTCGGGCTTCTCGTGGTTCGAGTCGTTCGGGCCTCTCGTCCTGGTGTGAGTCGTTCGGGCAGTAGTAGTAGTAGTAGTAGTAGTAGTAGTAGTAGTAGTAGTAGTAGTAGTAGTAGTAGATGTCTTTTGGGAGCCTCTTGGAGGCCTTTTGGGGCGTCTTGGGGGCCTCTTGGCGGCCCCAGGGGCTTCGAGGAGCGTCTTGGGTGCCTTGGGGGAGCCTCTTCGGGCCTCTTGGGAGCCTCTTGGAGGCCGTTTGGGGCGTCTTGGGGGCCTCTTGGCGGCTCCAGGGGCTTCCAGGAGCGTCTTGGGTGCCTCGGGGGAGCCTCTTGGGGCCTCTTGGGGGCCTCTTGGGGGCATCTTGGGGGCCTCTTGGATGCCTCTTGGGGCCTCTTGGGGCTCTTTGGGAGGGGTCTGGGAGGTATCTTGGGGCCATCTTTCGGGCGATCGATCACAGATGGGGCGAGCATTTTTCTCCTCCCCCCCGTCGGGGTCACAATCCTCGTGAGGGGTGTCGAATTTTAGCCCTCCCAGGAGTCGAAAAAGACCCCTCCAACGACACGCGAAACGACCTCTCCAGGCCCAGGGGGAGGGGGTAGGGGGAGGGGTAAACCCCTCCCCGAAAGGGAAGAAGGGGGTTGAGAACAGAGCGGGCTCTCTAAACCACTCACGCCCAAAGGGCTGGTGGGATTAGCTTAGCTTTAGCTTAGTTTTAGCTTAGTGTTAGCTTAGCTGTAGCTTAGCTTTAGCTTAGCTTTAGCTTAGCTGTAGCTTAGTTTTAGCTTAGCTTTAGCTTAGCTGCAGCTTAGCTTTAGCTTAGCTGTTGCTCAGCTTTAGCTTAGCTTTAGCTTAGCTTTAGCTTTAGCTTAGCTTTAGCTTTAGCTTAGCTTTAGCTTAGCTGTGGCTTAGCGTTAGCTTAGCTTTAGCTTAGCGTTACTGTTACTACTAATGCTGCTTTCCTAGGGGTTCCCACTCCTAGGTAGGGTCGCACTGGGCTAATTTTATCCTCGTCCTGGCTTCGCCTTACGCTTTCCAAGGGTTGCGTTGTTGAGTCGGTTCGGTTGCGTCGCGATCGGTTGTATTCAGTCGGCTCGGTTCGGTCAGTTATCGTGTCGCTACCACGTCGCTGCGACCTTCCTAGGCTGCTTTCGTCATGTCGATTTCGGTCGGTTTCGGTTTCGCTGTCGGTTCGGTCGGTTTTCGGTTGTGCTGTCGCCGTCCACGGCCTTGCTTCCCTCGTTTTCGCATTTCTCGGCCTCCTGGCAGGCCCTCGTCGCCACCGCTGTATTCGCCTTGAAATTGTGGTCAGAGCGCACCCCGGCAGAGGTCTGGGGAGCCGCGGTATTGGTACATGCTTTGGTTTCCTAAGGTAGGATCGAAACGGGTACGGAAAGAAGTGGTACGAATACCCACAGCAGTTCTTGCACATTTTGAACCAGACTCGGCGTCGGTGCCGCCGCGGACGTTGTCCAATTGAGACAGAAGGCCGCCTGCCCAACAGCGGCCGCTGTCGGTTTGGGACACCATCTTCTGCTGGGCATTGTACTGGGGATTACCATTTTTTCAGTACGAATCTCGGGCGTCCAAAGTGCAGGGCTTGTGGCTTGACAGAGACCAACCGCGGGCGTGAAGGCCGGACCAAGAAAGGAACAATGGCCAGCGACAGGGCCGAGCCACTGGCATCGGGAAGGCCAGCAAACTCATCCCAGAAGGCTGCATCGGCCTGGGCGCAGAGAGGCTGAGTGTGCTCTTGCCCCGTCCGTCCACCCACCCCCCCCACCACCAACCCCTTCCCCAACGGAATGAGAGGAGGACGCGGCGGCAACTGATCCGAGCCGTCGTGCAGGGGCAGGGGAGGGGGGAGGAAATCAGGGGAGAAAAACATACCGATATCGCTGCTCGTTCTGGAGATTCCTTGTCGCCGCGGCTAAATTCTCCCGAAGTGCAACCCAACCCTGGAGAGGCCTCGGGAGCAGCGGCATCAGTACCTCTGTGTTCCCCCAGGGTAACAAGCTGAAGGCGCCGCGTCGAAGGACCTCGAACTCGTCGTCGTTGACGACGTTGTACTGCTCTTCCAGCTCCCTTTCCTCGTCCAGTGGGGAGGAGGAGAAGGGGCGGAAAAAGGGAGAGGAGTGGTCGGACGGGGCTAGGACGAGGACACATCCGTTCCAGGGAGTTCCAGAACGCTTTCAGAGCGTTCCCGAACGCTCTGAGAAGGCCGCGGCGCCCGAGACATCCCCCAGCTCCGCCGGATCCCAAAGATTTTCGATGTATCCTCACCCGAACTTCTATCCTCGTCCCGGCTTCGTCTTAAGAGGGAGAGCGGAGGATGAGGACGACGAACGGGAGGAGCCGCAGCGAGGGGCCGCCTCCCATCTCGTCGTCATCGTCGTCGTCGTTGTCCTCCGCCTCGGTCCCACCGGACGAAGGGTCGAGAGGAGAAGGGGAATGGGGAATCAGAGGAGGAAAAGAAGAGAAGAGGCGAGAAAATAAGAGGAGGAGGAGGAGGAGGAGGAGGAGGAGGAGGGGGAGGGAGGTGTAGGAGGATGAGGAGGAGGAGGCGGGAGGTGGTGGAGGAGGAGGTGGAGGGAGAGAATATCCAGCTGCCTGCGGCTAGTCCCGCCACCGTGCCAGCCCAGCATGCTGGGTGGTGACTGGGCACGGGAGGTCATCACATGTGACTCCTCGGGTCTCTAGGCTTAGGGGAGCCGTGGCGATGATGATGATGATGATGATGATGATGATGATGATGATGATGATGATGATGATGATGATGATGATGATGATGATGATGATGATGATGATGATGATGATGATGATGATGATGATGATGATGATGATGATGATGATGATGATGATGATGATGATGATGATGATGATGATGATGATGATGATGATGATGATGATGATGATGATGAGGAGGAGGAGGAGGAGGAGGAGGAGGAGGAGGAGGAGGAGGATGTTTCTGATGCCGATGATGATCATGATGATGATGTTGACGATGATGCTGATGCTGCTGTTGATGCTGATTATGATGCTGGTGATGCTGATGCTGATGCTGATGATGATGCTGCTGATGATGAAGATGATGCTCATGCTGATGCTGCTGATGATGATGATGCTGATGTGATGATGGTGCTGATGATGCTGATGATGATGACTATGATGATGATAGCGGTGGTGGTGAGAATGATGATGAAGCTGATGATGAGGATCAGGAACATGATCAGGATGAGGCTGAGGCTGAGGATGATGGTGGAGGTGGTGGTGGTGGTAATGGTGCTGATGATGATTATGATGAGGATGATGAGGGTATTGGGGATGATGAGGATGAGGAGGCTGATGATGATGACGATGAAGATGAAGCAGATGATGATGATGATGACGATGAAGATGAAGCAGATGATGATGATGATGATGATGATGATGATGATGATGATGATGATGATGATGATGATGACGATGACGATGACGATGATGATGATGATGATGATGATGATGATGATGATGGTGAGGATGGTGATGATGGTGATGATGCTGATGCTGATGCTGATGCTGATGCTGATGCTGATGCTGATGATGCTAATATTGATGATGATGGTGGTGGTGATGATGCTGATGCTGCTGCTGATGGTGATGACCATGATGCTGTTGGTTGTGATTGTGGTGATGCTGCTGATGATGCCGATGCCGATGCTGATGCTGATGCTGAGAGGGAGGAGGAGGGGGAGGCGGAGGAGGAGGAGGAGGAGGAGGA